GTTGAGACAACCAAGTCATCAGGCATAGGGTGTCCAGAAGCAAGTCGGTATTGGTCGAGCAAAAGGTCAAGCTGTAAAAGATTCTCCAGCATTCCTCGATCTCTGGGAAAGCTTGGCAAGGCCATGATTGCTTGGCCTATTGCCATCGTTCGTGGTATAGCCTTTGGCATGTGGAGATTCCTCAACTGTTGCCATACCAAGAAACCATTCTTCTCTCCAGCTTCGGCTCTAATCAACTGTTGAGCAGGTCCTTTCACATAGGAAGCAAGTATGGCATACAGTCGATGAGCCAAGGATCTCACATCATCAGATGCAAAGTCCGACAACTGGCATGGTTCGTCCAAATTCTCCACGTCTCGCAGAAGCTCACCAAACCTGGAATCGCCATAAACAAGCCAGTTGGTAAATTGTTCTTTCCACGAGGCATATTTCAGTGGGTCGTCTCCTTCTAGTAGATCTGGGTTTCGAAGAACCTTGCTTGCCTCACCGAAGTTGCCATTGTCCTTCTTTCTCTCCCATTTCTCCATCAAAGCTGATGAAGCCTGAGCAGCCAAGGTTGCAGCCTCCGACATTTGCATCATCCTTGTCAGAACTTGTCGTGTCTGCTCAGCGTCCATGGCATTGGAACTGGCCCACAGCATGAGAAACACAAAACTCTTCATCTGCACTCGACTTTCAAATCGTGATCTCAGACTGCCGTTCCACCTCCTCTTTCGTGCAAAGCTCAAGTGGCCCATATGGAGTCTGAACTCCTTCTTCTTCTCTTTGTTTGTTTCCTGGATCGTCAACGCTCTGGCTCTCAAACAAAGAAGCACCTGAACCACTCCGCACAACATCCACACGTAGGGCTCGAGGAGGAAAGAAACAACATAGCTGCCAACACCAGTCCTGGGAAAATCAACGTCTTCATCCAAGTTCATGCTGAGGTTCAAACTGTACTCAACATCTTGCAAGCTTCGACCGTCATAAACTCTCAAGTCAGGGCACCGATCCCCAACTTCTCGCCAGATTGGGCTCCCATCCGCAATCACAAAGCGAGGACATGTGTTCAGGTCCAGGTTCCAATCCTTGACCTCGGCCAAGCTGTAGTTGCTCTTCGGCTCAACCCATTCACCTAGGTCATGACTCCCAGGCTCATCAAGCAACATGGCACCCATCCATGTCAAGCCATCTTCACAGGTGGCACCAATCCACCCAAAACCAAATCCCAAGGACTCTGTCAGGCCGGTCATCATCTGAAAGTGCTTTTCTGGCCATCTAGACAGAAGGTTCCGATCCTCCTTAGTCTCTAGGCTCATGTCCTTCAGCACCGTCAGCTCCTCCTCCTTCTCGTCCACGTCGTTGGAGATGTTCAGGTGGTCAAGCTCAACCCTACCACCAATCATCAACAGAAGAAGTGCCAGCATCCTCAAGCATGGCGTCGCGTGGTGGGGAGCGTGGAAGGGAGCCAGGACATTGCCTGGCTCCGCTACCATCAAAGAAACCGCGACCGAACACGGAAAGCGCGCCCCTTTTACACAAAGGTCTCGGGCCACTGCGGGCGTTCATGGAATGTAAACTTGTAACAGGTGGCATCCAACCTAGTAGCTAGTAACGATGGCCTCCAACCTAAGAGCGACGGCCTCCAA